CTGATTGAATTGAAAATAAAGAAATTAAAAAATATATTTTTGAAATAAAAATTAAGTTTGGATAATAATTAAATAATTTTTATGTCCCCATAAATGAAGATTTGAGGGTATATAGTTTTTGTCGTGTCCGTCCGTCTGTCTGTCTAGCTGTTTAGCTGTCTGTCTGTCTCACTGTTTGTCTGTTTGTCCTAAAAAAAAAATTCCTTGTGACAAGAACTTTCTTTCGGCACCACCAAAGACCTTTAGACATTGACCTCGGAGTTTGATCCACTTTTACACAAAAATTCCAAACTTTTTTGGGCCATATCTTTTGAACAGTAGATACCAGGACATTTATACTTCACATAAGTATTCTTTGTGGAAAGACCTTTCATTGGATATCAACAACCTTGACCTTGGAGATTTCCTATGAAATCTTATGACTTATTACTTATGAAAAAACTTTAACCTTGGCCATAACTTTTGAACAGTAAGGGATAGGGCCTTAATAGTTAATACTTCACATATGTAATCCTTGTGAAAAGACCCTTTATTGGATATCCAGAACTTTGACCCATTGACCTTGACCTTGGAGGTTGACCTACTTTAAAAAAGCAAATCTTGATTAGAACTTTTAAAAGGTTAGGGCTAATGCTTTCATACTTTACATATTTAATGCTTGTTACAAGACCTTTCATTTGATAGCAAGACCTTTGACCCTTTGACCTTGACCTTGGAGTTTGACCTATTTATTATTTTTTTTAACCTTGGCCATAACTTCTAAACATTTAGGACTTGAGCTTCCAATTTTTTTTACATATGTATTCCTTGTGGCAAGACCTTTCATTTGATACCAATTACCTCGAACTTTTGACCTTGACCTGGGAGATTTTCGTACTTATGAAGAAACTTTAACCTTGGCTTATTTTATAATAACTTTTCAACGCTCAGGGCTAGTGATGTCATATTATATACATGTATATGTAATCCTTGTGAAAAGACCCTTCATTGGATACCAAGATTTCCAAACTGATGAAATTTTTTTACCCTGGTCTGATTTCATATTTCAAAGCTGTATTTCCAGTGAGTTTGCATTTAAGAAAAGTTAAATCTTTGCTAATTTGTTGCCATACGGGGGCATCAGTGTTTCACAAACACATCTTGTTTTTCTAGGATACAGAGAATGGATTTTTAATGAATGTAAATCAGCAGATTGACCTTGTGTGTGGACAACTTTCCAAGGACTCTAAACTTCAGTCTGGCTACAACGCCATTGGATTCTCCCAGGGTGGCCAGTTCTTGTGAGTATTGTGTACCATATTTCTTCTAAAAAATACAAATACCACTCCATGTACAAAGGCATACTTCATATGTCAAGTGTGTACATAGGCCCTGTTTCTGTCATGAATTGTCCCCAATGTATAATAACTCAAGGTATTTAACTCCAAGTTACAAGGTGTAATCCCCTCCTTATATTCCAATCATTTACACTTTCAAAGAAATTTGAAAAACTGAAAATTATTAACTACCATTCCGTACTGTATGAATTATCTACAAAACCACACATGGCCTGCTTGTCTTTATTTTCCTTTATCTCTATAAACAGCATCCAAACATTGGTTGCCCACCATCTTCCAAAGTCAAGAGTTTCTGATCCACATAAACCCTTGACCAAATAGACAGAATTTGACAGGGTTTTGTGATCGCCTCATAAGGAGGGTAGGGGTCCACAGGGAATAAATAGAGCATCCAACTGCTCACTATTCCTCAACACTTGGTTAAACAGTTAAACAGTAACCTTTTTAAATGGAATGTGCAAAGTTCTTGGGATATGTGTTAAATATTCAATTTTAAATCATTTATTGATGGGGGGTGTAGTCAGCTCAAGTGAAAACATTGGCCTTTCATGAAAATTTTACATTTGAAATTGATAATTTTATAAAAGAAGTAAGGTATCATGTAACATGTGTAACTACCTGCATCGTCTTAATATTGCATTGTGTGTACATCAACATGTACTTCACTATTTTTAAATACATGTACATGTAGTATATAACCTATATATTACAGATATACTTGGTACATACATGTTGATGATTAGCTACAGCATTTACAACTCTTTATCAGACTATATATTGATATATATCTTTGCCATTGAAGTATTTATAGAATCTACTAGAAATTATATAGAAACAGAAGTTATGCATGTAGCTTATGATGCTTGGATTTTTTTATGCAAATACATATATATTTTTATGCATGCATGTATTAATTCATTGAACAAAAATAAGAGAGGTTAGACATATATTTCATACTTAATGGTCTAAAAGCCTTTTTATTTTATATCACATCCACGGTTATTTTTTTTTCTATTGATTACAGTTAATGTTACTATTAATCCAAATTGTGCTGGACAAACATGGAATTCTATATTTAATAGTTAGAAAACAGTGCCAAAGGACATGACATACACTCTTAGTGATGTGTAATTATAGGAGATAGGATCATTTCTGTTGAAACTAGAGATTACCATAGTAGTCATTAATACTCAGAAAATCAATATTTTGTACCATTTGAGGAATTTTACTGTCAAGGGTCTAGAAATTTTCATTAATCACAGACACTGTTATGTATGACTCTTTTTTTTTGTATAAGATTTATAGCAACAAGAATTTTAAATACTTATTTCAAAATCTTCACAAAAGTTTCATTTTTTTTTTTATTTGGAAAGCAATTACTGTCCCTGCCTTCATAAAAGTGTGAAGATGTTGAACTTGATCCATCTCTCTGGCTAACCATCTGTCCATCTTTCAGTCATATAAACTTATTTCAAAACATTTGAATGAAAAGAGATGGAGCTTTCATATTTCATATGTGCAATACCAGTGACAAGACCTTTCAGAATAAACAATGTTTTTTGATCTCTTGACCTTGAAGTTTGACCTTTTAAAAAAAAAAACTGGTAATTACTTTTGAAGGAGAGAAGATATTGGTTTTATATTTCACATATACAGTACCTAAACTTTGATTTTTGTTATACATGTATCATGATCTTGAAGTTTGCTTAATGACCTTGAAGTTTGACCTACTTAAAAAAAATTAACTTTTCAATATTGTTATCTCAAACCAGGTTGGTTACAGAGTATACTTTGGGCTGCTATTAAATTCAGTCCTTTAATATTAGCCTTACCAGAAATTACAAATTGTTAGGTCTTGGTAGATGTAGGATGTAGACACAATGCCTGAAGAATGACAGCAACAGCACAATCCATATTATCAGGAAAGAATAACTTTGTTATTATCTTTTTATGATGAATAGCTTATTTCTTTACTGTTTACATGATATACATGAACATGCAGGAAATAACATCCTCCGGAAACTTGCACAAATCTCTTTTAGTATACACCAAGTGTTTCTGAGAAAACTTCATAAAGTAGCATATAGGCAGTTTACTTACATGTACATTTCAATCACAAGATTTTGGGGAAAATATATTTTATGGGAACTTCTCACCTAGCTGACCTTAAAAGAGAATAAAATAAAATGTATTTTATTATTTTGACTTGCTTATTAATGATTCTGTTACATATTGCAGAAGAGCCATAGCTCAGAAGTGTCCAAATCCCCCCATGCTGAACCTCATCTCTGTAGGGGGCCAACATCAGGGTAACAACTTCAATGGAAAATCAAAATAATTAAGAGTTGTCTCCCTTACACAACTGGATGATAACACATCTTAACTATTTCAAAATTTGTAAAATGAAATCATTCTTGGACACTTTCTAAAATTACAGCTCTTTTCCAAAATTGTTGAAAGTGTCAGTGTTTTTGAATATTAAACAAAATTGATGCATTCTAATAATCCACAAAAATATGAAAGGATTATATTAAAGTGATTTATATTGAAAATTGATACACTGACCTAAAAATTAAAAAAAAAGTAAAATTTAGATGACCTAAAAATTAAAAAAAAAGTAAAATTTAGATAATGAATAATTGAATATTAATAAAATTGTTTGAATGTGTTTAGGTGTGTATGGTTTTCCCCGTTGTCCAGGTGATAATAGTACACTGTGTGATATTGTCAGAAAGCTGCTGAACTTAGGGGCATACAACAGGTAAATTTCTCATTAAGAACCCTCTCTACACTGCACACTAAAGAGTTCTGATTTTTTAGTATTTTTCAGCAGTTAGAGAGATCTGCCCTTTGATCTAAATTCTAAGAAATAGAATTTTATTGAATATTTCTCAATTTGTAATCAATTCAAGTATTCTTCACATTTTAAAGAGCAAGATACATTAATTGAACATGTTATTAATACAATCTTGTATTTTCTCTATGGAAATACACATCAGTGATTTCTATTCACTGATACTGTGTTGTGTTTGATCATTTTCCTGGGGGCAAATGCGAGGTACTATGTAATTAAAATTGAATAGATAAGCTCAATATTAACACCTTTATACAACATTTTTCTCAATGTCCCAAAAAATATTTTGCACTGGTGTAGAGAGGGTCCTTAAATATTTATTTAATTTTTGTCTAAATCAATGAAATAGGTTTACTGCATATTTTCCTGGTTTGAAAATACATGTATAAAAAAATTTAATTATATAATTTGCTTTTTCTTTCAGTTTTGTGCAGAATAAGTATGTATACCTTATGTCTATTTTTCAAACTATCCTCCCATGAAGAGCTGTACATGTATTAACTTCTAGACTATATATCTATTACTCCTCATCAGCCATTCTTAAATCAGCGATTATCTTGTATAAAATAACTTTTTATTTATTTTTTAATTATTCAAAACTTTTCGAAAGTATATGATGGGAGATGATTCCAAGTTCTTGCATAATACAGTCTTATTCAACAGGTCGGAGAGAATACTCGAAATCGGGTATTATCCGTCAAATCGCGTATAATTCTCGATATTAGGGTATCGTTGAATCCGCGAAATCGGGTATAGGAGGTGTAATCACCTAATAAAACTTAAACAATGGGATGGCGCATGTTGCCGAGTTAACTTTCATCTAGATACACGTTTTCTAAAGGTATCACTAGCCAAGTAAGAATTTGGGCGTCAAGATTAATGCGCTCGGGACAACAAATACCCGTGGAGCTCAGTACATTTCATGATCTGCACACAAAAAGGCGTTCGATTTGCTTTATATTTTTCCTTATGTTGAAAGTATATGCATCTTCCTAATGTTCATTCCCAACACAACAGAATTGTAAAGTATCAGAATTCGGGAATTTATAATAATTCAACATCAACACGACAAACATGAACAATTTGTAAATAAATCAAATTATACGGAAACACATTTCACACACCAGATATGATGCCATGTATCTAATTATGCATCATTAATTACTTTCACATTCATCTTGTGCATAAAATCAAATTTATTAATGAATGTATAAATAATGTAATGATAAAAAATGTCTAAAACTTCGGCTAAAAGAACCCTCTTTCTCTTTTTTTGAAAATCTTTTCTTTCTTATTTATCATTCAAACATATTTGCAGAATATGTCTTCAACATTTTAGCAGAGACAGTGATAGTTTCAGGAATACAGCTTATGAGAGAACATAACTGTTGATCGTTTAATTTCGCTAAGTCATAAATATTTTACCATTTCTTGGTGACTTCAAAGGGGGGGAGGGGGGCTAAAGGCTTCTTGACCACCTCTGACAAAACAACCTCAACTGTGTTCTACATGTGTCCAAGTGACCTCTCTTTGAATGTCACGGTCGGTTAAACTCGGTCATATATTTTTAATTGTAGGAAAGATTTATTCATCAAATAAAAATCATATACATTGTAGGTAAACAAAAAGCAACCTGTTATTTTCTAACACAATATAAGACTACAAGTAACTAGAATTCATGTTTATTTTTTTAACACATTTTTTCATTATAGATGAGTATTAGGAAAAGTTATTGCCATGAGTAATACGTATCATAGATAAAATAACTAAAAGAAAATTGTGACATATTGTCTAGAACCAATTAGATAGTGCGTTGTATTAGCATATTATAATGAGGTATAGGATAGCGATATAAAAAAAATATAGAAAGTAAAGAGGTAAAATTTACCCTGTCTATCAAATAGTATAATAAAGAAAGGAAGTGGCTACGATTTTTATGAAATTTTAATGTCCGATGAGGAATTATATTCCCAAAAAGTAAGACAAGAGTTTCTAAGGTAATTGAACACTCCATTATTTCAGTTTGTTCATTAAAATGTTCATAAACGTAAAAATTATAAGAAATGTGAAAACTTGACTATGTAATTCATATTTCAATATGACTGTACCTCGATCTATATTGAGAAATTCAATGTATTTTAACTTCATGAAAAGATGTACACATTTGACTTTTATTTATAACCCCCCCCCCTCCCCCCCAAAAAAAACAAACAAGAAAATCCTGTTCATATGACTTCTCGCTCTCAATTTTCACACAAATGCATAAAATAAAGTTACAATAGTATATTTTGTATCGATTAAAATGCAACCAAAAATTTACGGTATCTTTGAATAAAAATTTCATGCTAAATTGACATAAAAAAAGATACTCACCTTCAATTAGCTATTTTCAACCCGTTTTCCCGTGGGTATTTATTTAATCTTATTTTATTTTCTTCTTTATAATAACGTTGGTATTCTATTATTGCAGAGATATACAATTATGACTCGCTTATACTGTACTCTCTAACTGTTAGGAGTAATTTATATTTCACGAGAAAGGGACGCCATACATTTTCCAGTAAAAATACATAACACGGCGTTAGTCGTTTAATTTATTTAAAATTTCACGTTTTGTGAATAGTGCACAAATTAGAAAATTAAGTATATGGAATACTTTAATGGGAAATAAAGACAAACGAAGTGTAGTTATTTGTTTTTAGAAATTATATTGAAAAATAGTAACACCATTGTGTCCTCTTTGTTACCTCAGCAGTGTTTGTCGTGTGATTTTAAACTTATTTGACAACCTTATGAATTAGGTTTAATAAAAGTAAATCCACAAGATACTGATGTACAAGTAACAGTTACTGGCATAATGCGCCGTTGCTTTATTCTTCAGTTTTTATAGAAAGTTGCACGGAATACCCGATTTCGCGGATTCAACGATACCCTAATATCGAGTATTATACGCGATATACCCGATTTCGAGTATTCTCTCCGACCTGTTCAAAATTGTGAAAACAGACAGATATATTTACTCCATGGAATTGTACATAATAGCACATGTAATAAAAATACACCTATATCAAGTTCCACATTTAAGTTTGCATAAATATTATACATGTACCACTATAATTTCTCTCGATAACTATAAACTCCTGGCATGTTGTAGTCTTGTCCAAGCAGAATACTGGCATGACCCTCTCCAGGAGGATGAATATAAATCAAAGAGTGTGTTCTTAGCTGATCTGAATCAGGAAAATGTAAAATATTTTATTTCAACAGATTTTAAAACTACTGGTACTTTCAAATACAAAAGCTACACTAAAGAAAAGACAGAATGCCATACTGTTTTGTTTTCATTCATAAATTACAGAAGAGAAATGAGACCCAGAAAAACAATTTGCTAAAACTGAAGAATTTTGTGCTGGTCAAATTCTTACAAGACGAGATGGTGGACCCCAGGGATAGTGAGGTGGGTAGGAACCAGTAAATGGTACACTGTTGTTTGGAAGGGAAATTTATAAGGACTACCATATAAATATATATGATAAGGTGTACCAGATAATCCAACATTTTGCTGGTAGTATGCTTATTCATTATCAACTACCGGTAACTGACCATTTGTAAATTTTTATTATCATAGTTTTTAATTTTTTATACCCTCCGCTTGAAAAGTGGGAGGGTATATAGTAACCATGATGTCCGTCTGTCTGTTATGCCTTGGGGTACCCATCTCTTTCGCAACTCCTTTCATACCACTGAATGAAAGTGAATTAAACTTTCACAGAATCTTTTATTACATAATTATTGCCATTGTGCACCTCCTATTTTACTAGGGTGTTGCAAAAATTTGGTGATCTATAGTATAAAATCTGTATAGCTTTAACATTGATTATCTTGTCATTTCAGTGGTTTGGCTTCTACAAACCTGGACAAGCAAAAGAACTCTTCACCCTTTTTGAGTCACCACTCTATCAAGAGGTAATTAACAGTGAAAGCAATTAAATTTGAGTCGAGAGTAATAGTCATAAGAAAATCCTCTAAATGCCTTCTTGTTTAATATCATATTGATTTGAGATGTATGTACACTAATTGTGCTGATAAAGCATCAGCCCTCTTGCTTAACCCTTGCTTAATTAGCCCTCACTGTCAATCCTATAGGACTGGTTGGGATTGAAGACAATGAATAGCACTGGTCGGCTCCACTTTCTGGCTTCTCCCGGTGACCACCTTCAATTTACAGAGCAGTGGTTCATTGACAACATAGTCTCCAAGTTCCTTAAGGGGTAGATCCTGCACTGTCAGTACCATGAAGTGAGATTACAACTGATACAGCAATTCATCAATGCTCTACAAAAATTTTCCCCAAGTTTTCCCATTCTCTTGATCAGTGTAGATGATTATTTCCCTTGATAGAAAATAAAAACTAATGATTCATCTTTGCATAGGCTAAAGGGGGGATTTTTCAATTGATCAAATTGTGTGAAATTTAACTCTGTATTTTAGTGTAACAAAGTAAATTTGTATATGTCACATTTACTGAAAAGTTCATGTTGTGCCGTGATATGTATTTGTATATTTTAATCTTGTATGACACCCTAAGTATTTATTGATCATTTTGAGTTTTCAGTTGGTTTTATCTGTCGCCCATATATCTTATGAAGTTAACATTCTACTTATCTCCACCAATGCAGGGTACTAACTGTACAAGTACATGCAGTACTGTATATAAAAGTTGTAAGTTGCTTTTCATGTGAAACGTTTTATATTAACATACTGTATATTCAGTGGATAAATCCCAACACAGAAGAACATGTATAGTTGCATCACAGATTTTAGTTGCTTAGCTTTGGTGCATCATCTTAGATAGCCTTTTTTGTGCTATAATTTGTTTGTTAATTAATTTTGCATATGAATTATTTATTTGTGGGATGAGACGTAATTAAATCGAGTGATGTTGATCATTATCCTGAATTTGACACAATATCATTAATTATTCATGTTTCATTAAATAAAAACTATTTTTATAGTATATGTACTATTTTTACATTCTAAATGAGAAAAGGAAGATTCTCACGGCTGAGGTCAAATTAAAATGCAACTTGCAGGAGAATTTCTGAAGTGCAACACAGCCTTTCAAAAATACCTAAAAGCAATCCTTGGTATAAACCTTAATTACTGGGTAAATTAACACAGACACAGATCAATTGACTTTATCATTTATTTCAGATACATGTACACATATATCCGCTATATAATGATAGAAGAATACTATCATTTACCAACTCTAAATGTTGTATGTAAAACTTAAATACAAAATGTTGTCCAAGTACATTTAACATTTCAATAATACTAAGAGAGACCTATGTAACATAATAAAATATACACATTCTGTCATAAAGGAAAAAAATAATCTAAATAACCATTTTACTCGATGTAAAATTCGATGTACAAGTTTGAGTGATGTCACTATGTTCTAGCTCAGTTATAAATAGACATATATACATAGAAACGTCAGTAACAGTAGTACTGGTGTGGAGGTGAGGGGTGTGGCTGTCGTGTAGATACACAGCAGGTCCTTGTCCGACATTTTAGGACACTTGCCCTCCTCTGCTAGAGTGCGGCTGGACTTTGACACCTGATTACATGTACCGTTAATGATACGGTAAGCTCCTGAGTTCACAATGCTACAATGAAATGTGAAGATGACAAAGAGTAAGCAAGCTCAAAAGCTCAATGAAACATTACAAATTGAGAGCAGAGCAAATATGGACCACTTATATTGGAAGTGGGATAAGGTACTTTATTATATGATTAAATAATTTACTTCTCTCTGATTGGCTGAGAACCAACTATGTTAGAAAAATACTACGTTATATTGACCTGCATGTGATGTTCCAGGTCAATAAAAGGAATTACTGCAGGTCAATATAAGGAATTATTGACCAGTTCAATTTTTTCTGTTACAATGTGTTCTTGTTGAAATTTCTTGTTAAAACTTTCCATTAAAGCAAAGAAACAGTCTTGTAGGAGTTTGCTATCATTTAATCATATAATAAAACAGTTATTGCTGTTTTTTGCGGTCAATATGATGATTTAGCCACCTTCGAAGTACTATACAGCAAAACTCGGTTATAACGAAGTCGCTGGGACCTTTCAATTTACTTCGCTATATCCGTAATTCGTTATAACCGTATAAAAATTCATTAAATTTATATAGCTTGGGATTCAAAATGACTTCGCTATATCCGTGAATTCGCAATATCCGTGTTCGTACTAAACGAGTTTGACTGTATTCACTTTGCCCTTCGGGCTCAGTGAATATTGTACTCCTCAGGTGTCTAAATCATCGTATTGACCTTAAAAACAGCAATAATTGTATAATAGAATGAAAGAAAATAACTTGTTCTTTTATATGATGTCAAAATTTTATTTTAATATAAATGCTACGTTTCTCTTTATAGTGACAATTTTTACTTGTTTACAGTTAACACAAATTACCTTCGTGTGATTTGGCAGTTGAAATTATAGAAGAAAGAGGCTGGGTGTGAATTCCAGTTCTCTATGATGAGCAGGTAAAGATTTGTTTTTGGTAGTGAGGTCACATAGTAAAATCCAGACATGCAGGGTCCAGATACATTCCCTGTTATCATTCCACTAGGACCTGAAAAATGTATATGTATATATATTTTTCAGTAAAAATAAACCAAAGGGAAAAAATACAAGTCCAAATCTTTAGAACCAATAAATTTATTCATTTTAAGCTCACCTGAGCCAAAGGCTCAAGTGAGCTTTTCTGATCAAAATTTGTCCGTTGTCTGTCGTTGTCGTAAACTTTTCACATTTTCATCTTCTTCTCAAGAACCACTGGGACAATTTCATCCAAACTTGCTACAAAGTATCCTTGGGTAAAGGGGATTCAAGTTTGTTAAAATGAAGGGCCACACCCTTTTCCAAGGGGAGATAATTATGAATTAGAGAAAAATTAATGTCATTTTTAAAAAATCTTCTTCTCAAGAACCACTGGGCCAGGAAAGATGAAACTCATGTGGAATCATCCTCAGGTAGTGTACATTCAAATTTTTTCATTTCAAATCATGACCCCTGGGGCTAGGGTGGGACCATAATGGCTGTTAAAAGTTTTACATAGGAACATATAGGAAAAATCTTTAAAAATCTTCTTCTCAAGAACCACTGGGCCAGGAAAAATAAAACTCATGTGGAATCATCCTCAGGTAGTGTAGATTCAAGTTTGTTCAAATCATGACCCCTGAGGGTAGGGTGGGGCCAAAATGGCTGATCAAAGTTTTACATAGGAATATATATAGGAAAAATCTTTAAAAATCTTCTTCTCAAGAACCATTGAGACAGGAAAGATGAAACTCATGTGAAATTATCCTCAGGTAATGTAGATTCAAGTTTTATCAAATCATGACCCCCGGGGCTAGGGTGGGGCCAAAATGGCCGACCAAAGTTTTACCTAAGAATATATAGGGAAACCTTTTAAAATCTTCTTTTCAAGTACTTCAAAGCCATGATTAGTAATATTTATATGGAATCATCCTCAGGTAATGTAGATTCTAGCATGTTCAAATCATGATCCCCCGGGGGGGTTAATATTCAAGCCCCCCCCCCCCCCCCACCTCAGTAAACTTTCAGTTCTGATCTGATATGTGCTTTTTCCTAGCTGATGTGCTCAGGTGAGCACTGTGGCCCCTGGGCCTCTTGTTTAATTATAAAATGCAGTTTAACTCTGGTATCTTAAACCCAATATCTCAATGACCATTGATATCTAAAAATATAAAGTATGATACTGTAGTAGGAAAGGAGAAATGCACAAAGAAAGCATATGGCTGGAACGGGAATCGAACCCGGGACCCCTGCATTACTAGTCAGGTGCTCTAACCACTGAGCTATCCAGGCCGATATCCACGGTCCATAAAGCCCGAACTTCTACAATACCAAATTTCAAACAAATATTGGTGTTCATACCTAGTGCTTGATCATTAGTTTTAAACTGTATAACATCTTGAATACAGCCATATTCACTGTTGAACTGAGGAATAGGACCCTTGTTTCTGATGTAGTCATCCTGTTCCCCTGGATTTTTGGGAATCCCATCCAGAGATAACTGCAAAGGAACAAATCATGTAAAAAGAATATAGCTGAAAATTTTAACTATACTTTTATGTGCCTTGTTCACCTGCTGGATATGACAAGGCAAACATGCTCAAATTCAAATCACACGATATTGTATCACCTTTGGCTCTTCTGGTGTGATTCGACATGATCCCTGAAAATCTATGCTCTCTCCTCGATCAAAGAAGCCATGCTTGTAGATAAGGTCTTTCATGACTTCTCCCTCTTTAGTCCCAAGTTGGACCTGTTCATATTTACTTTCATCTAAAGCACTGGCTATCAAAAAGTCAGGATCCATTACAAGAAATGCCTTGCTGTCAAACAAGTAGCACCTGTTGAATAGAAGTAATTCAGGAAGGTGAAAAACAGAACATTTAAAATCAAAAATTAATATTTGGGATCCTTAGTAATATGATTTTAAGTTACCCGTACATTGTTTTAAATATACTTAATGATTGTCTATTGTCAATCTGAATTCAAATCATGATTTTACTGCAACTATACTTAAGATAGCAAACCTTGTCTGACATTTATTTTCTCCATTGGGACAAATGTAATGTTGGTTACAGGACTTCAGCCCATTACTGGCCTGCATGGCCTCCATTGTTCTGTTCTGAAAATCATCATACAGGATGTCCAGTCCGGTCACTCCCTCCACACGCTCTGTAGCACAACGGCGCTGGTCAGAGTTAGGACCTGGTGCTTCACTCACATAACATACACCTGCACAGAATCAACAAAATTTTAGATTATTTTAACATTAAGTCTTTAAAAATCAACATAATCTATCAAATAAATTTTTTCTCAAAATTTGCTTCATATAATTAAGTATATAAAGTAGGAAAGCATTAAAATGAGGAATAATGAAGTCAAGGTCATTTGCAAGATCAAAATTTCACACAGTTGAAAGCTTTAAACCTGAGCAAAATATAAGTGTAATGGACAGACAGATGGAGGATGGACAGTAGGACAAAGTATGGACATGACAAACACTATATGCCATAGCCACATTCATAGTAGGACAATAAAATTTAGACTTGGAATTGTAAGATGATAAAGATTTCGAACATTTCTTCTCAATTCTTTTGCATGATTAGATTTGTTAAGAACTGTACTTACGACTGATACAGTCAGTATCTACTTCACACACACAGCCTCCTGGTAGAGGTTTAGAGATGTTGAAGCAGTCCTCATCTGTACGAGGAGTCATTCCCTCAAACACAGCCTGGGAGATGGTGACAATCTTACCCACTCCTGCCGCATCCATATAAGGTGTAGAAATTGAGGTTCTCCATGGGGTACTGCTGGTTCTCTTGTACCAGGGCCGCCTTAAAGATGTAACATATATATGTATTACAAAAAATGAAAATTTCCCAACAGAGAAATGTAACTACATTTATATTTGTGCTTGGTTTTTCCATAAGATTATTTCTTATAAAACAAAAAACTGCATCTAAAAACTTGCAACTTTGCATATGGATTGAAATACAGTAGTCATATCATAATGTATGCATACTTTGTTGGATCATATCCTCTTTTTGATCTATGGCCAGGATAAGTTCTAAACATCCCACTCCTAAGTCCAATGTTTGTCCATTTGACTTGCGATAGGGACTCAAATTCTCTTGATTTCCAGATCTCTTCTATAGGTTGTGTTATCAATGTATCAGCCCTGAAAATTGTTTAGAATTTTTTTCCTGATTCAATTATTGTGGTTTGTTCAATCCATGCAGTTACTACTATGGATACTTAACACTAAATCAAAGCTGCATCTTAGGTTTTTATTCCAGTGACATGAAAGCCCACTTTGCTTAATCAATAATGTGATAAAACCTAATAAATCTTTTACTAAGTTTAAACAATGTACCTGACCCCTTTATCATATATTTGATCCCCAACACAACCAAGGTCCGTCTCATTCGAGTTCATCCAGCGATGTGCATTGATGGTTTTCTTAGCCAGGTTGTCATCATACAAGTACTGGATAGGATCACAGTGAGACTTGGGGGCCAGAAATATGGTGGAGTGTTTGTAGCTGATGGTCAAGCCTGGATATCTCTCTGTCTCATTCTCACGGATCTCCAGCTCTTCCCAGGCATGAGGAAACTCGGCCTTCACCACTGGGTTTAGGTACTCTTTGAGAAGATTGTAGTAGCTTGTGGTGTAACTTGATCTATCTATGGGTTCCTGGGAACGTCGGAATTCCTACATTAATATTAATAAATGACAGGTTTTCTTTGAAATAGCTGGTAGTACACATATCAAAGAGAATAGAAAATAATGAGGGTTAAATGGAAGTTTTTGTTTAAGATTATACCAAATATATATTTCAAAAAATATATTAAAAAAATTATTTAAAGTTCCCTTTGAATAATACCTTGTCTGTGTCTGTCAATATATAAGCAAAGGAATATTCTGAATTGTTGATAGCTGCATAGAAAATGGTCTGAAATGAGAAAAATTAGTCTTCAAAATATTTAGTGAGATACATTTTTCAGTGCCTTAATTTTATTAACAACAAATGCCAGAATACCTTTGTGGATTTGTCCTTTTGTTCAATGACTCTCATATTTGTATTCCCTTCCCTCATATCTTTTAGAATCATAGGAAATTCTTCATATGTTTCTAGTTGTGTAATTGGAATGAATATTGGATCCTCTAAAAGCTGAAAGATTTATATCCACTTAGAATAATTAAACAGTGTAATTACAATGGTTTAATACACATTATGATGATTGTAACAAATTGTACTAATAAAAAAAATTTCAACTTACATTTGTGCTTGGTTTTAATTTTGGATGATAAATTGTCTCCCCTTCCTTGTTAATAAGGAATGAATACACATTTCCCCATTGATGCTTTGTCAGAAAATTCTCTATCTGATCCAATGTAGCATCAACGCCAACAACTCCAATTGTCCTAAAATTTGATGTAACATGAAAAAGAAACTTAAAATAACCGAATATCTTCCTTGAGCCTGATATTTTTAATGCTTGTAAGAATCTGGTCCTGGGGTCATAAAACTAAGAAAAGCTTACTTTTTATCTCAGTCTCGGTTTTCTATTTTTAATTCCGATGGTCGTCCCTAAAATTACTAAACTAAAATTGAAAAGGTCAATGTTTAAACAGTAAATGATCTTCCATTTCTCCCCTGATGGGGAGTTTTGGAGGAATACCAAAATTAACAGGGAATTACATTATTATAGGCAGGGAAATTCCCAGACCCCAGGTCTTAGGAACAACCCTGAATTTCTTTTGTAAAAGTGAGACTGCGATCAAAAGAGAGTCTTTCTAAGTTTCACAGCCCAAGAGTCTGATGATTGAATACTTACGTGCCATTACTGATGACTGGTATAGTGTATGTAACCATGATTCCCAATCCCCAGGCATCAAGGTACGGTGAGGTCCACATGGCTTTAGTATTCAGGGCACTAGAGGATAGGAAGTCAAAGTAGTTTCTCATCTGAAAGATGAGGTTCTCCCCATTGTTCAGCTTTACTAGACTCCCTCTGTGGCTACAGGCCAATCTCCCTGGAAACTCCTCGGCATCTTCTTTAATTAAGTAACTAAATATCCTAGTCTAAAAATAAACAGTTCATAGAAACCTTGAAAATAATGAATCTTTTAGTCAATGAAATGATGTAAATTACTCTCTTAGACTTACCTGAGGTATGCTGTACTTGCTCTTTTGATCAGCAACACTCCAAACCTTTGTCCAGTTGTACTTACAAACAGGTCCAGGTACATACCCACTCCTTGTATAATACCCTAGAGTGAAACAAAGTATTTTAATGATAGTTTCTCCCTATAACATTGATCTACAGTCTTTTTTTGGTCAATGTATGTGTATCTCCCTATATTCTTTTGGTCATAATTATCTGGGATAGAGTTTTTACTGACCTGGACCACATCTGATATTTTCACCATCAGTGTCTTGTCCGTCAGTGACAAAAACAATGACAGACTGGCAGCCGGTTCGAGGGTTACTTCTTAGTAAGTTATAGGCAATTTCCAAGCCCTTCCTTCAAAACATACCATGATCAATGATATTAAAGATAAATAAATTCTGTAACACTGATAGTTATTTACTTTTAAACAAATAGAGTGGATCTCTGCTGGGTTCTGCACATCAGGCATTAATCAAAAAATAACTGGTCTACTTACTCAAGCTCACTTGTGCCCCCTGCTTTCAGTTTTTGAATCTTTTCCTTAAGGTCCTTTCTGTGAGCTATTGTGGCTGGTACCATTGTGTCTTGCTGACAGCTCAGTGCAGTTGTACCATAGTAATGAAGCCTGTCAGAAAGATAATTCTTTAATAACATGTACTTTTTTCATTAAGAAAATTTTAAATTTCCCTTCTAATATGGGTTATTAGTTTTTATAGTCTTTCCAATCATGTTACATATAGAGACGTCTTTCAGATTTTACAGAGTGCATTCATAGAATATTCCCCTTACTTTCCAACTTCATCCCAATGGCTAGCCCTGGCACACACAACATTGACATAGTCCTGTTTTGTTAATGTATTGATAACAGTCTTAGCCACTCCCTTAGCAATGCTGAACTTCTCACCTTTCATTGAAAAACTAGATAAAACATAGAAAAGAAAGTATTTATGAAATGAAACCATTGATACATGAACTGATTCTTTTTCTTAACAGAAAATCATTTTATATGCTCTCTATATTGGACGATACACATATAAACATTATACCTGCAGTCTAAGACAATAACAACATCTTTTGGACCACTGGTGGCAGCTATGTACCAGGGACGAACTCTAGGATCATAATCATTGTAAAACCCGGCAAAGTTTGTGGACCACTCCCTACCAGGATAAATCCGAACAATTCCTGCCGTGGATCCAAAGTATTGCCATCTAAAGCATACACCATCCTCATATAATTTCATTAACCAATGAAGGCATCATACACTATGTGGATTTCAAATTTTTACCCACCATTTCCATACTTTTTGTGCTATTTATGTTAAATGCATTACCTTAAGAACTCATCATTTTTGGCATTTTCTTTGAAGACTTCTTCCAGCTTTGAGGTAAAATTAACAGTGTCTACTGTCATTTCTTCTTCTCTAGGAACCTCATCAGCAATTTTTATAGTAGAGAACTCCTCAC